TATTCCCTCTTCCTATACATCTCCTCTACTGTCTAATCCACGTTCCCTTTCCATCCTGTTCTTATAAGTTATAAGGGCAGGAAAGAAAAGGGAGTAAAGTTGGGGCTCCGGTACCACACTCATGAAACAAAACGCGGAATTGCTTCCACTTCACGCCTGTCTTCTGTGTGGTCGTGGTATTGCTGGGAGCGAGCCGGCTTATTACTATCATTCTTTTACTTAGTAACTAAATTATTCGTCTTACTTCTTACTAATTTTATAAACTAACTTTCTCACGTGACTTCGGACACGTGTATTAAAAAAAGTTGCAATGTGTTCTTTCAGACTATCCTCCACATTTACATCAAATTTCATAAAAATCCGTCCAGCTGTTTATGTTTCAAACTCTAACAAACATCCATCCATCCATCTAAACTTTCGCATTACATTAATATTATGAATAAGTTTAGATAGATAGATAGATGTTTGTTAGATTTTGTTGCCTAGACGACTGGACGGATCTCTATAAAATTTAACAGATGTAGAGGATAGTCTGAAAGAACACATACATATGCTACATACTTTTGTTTTTTTAAATCCACGCGGAAGGAGTCGCGGATGTAAGTTAGCACTAACATAATTGTCCATCTTCGAGAACTTACTCGAAGAGTGAAGATAATTACCGTATGACGTCGTTTTTATGTTTCTAGATGTCTCTTCTAGTAGCCAATCTGCAGCATCTTTCCTTGGAGCTGGCCATCCGAACTCGCCTTCCTCTGTTGTTGAAGCGTTTTTTAATATTTCTAGAGCTTCAGGAACTATCGGGCTCCTGAAACAAAATGTATAAAGAGCGTAAAGTAAAAAGATAAATTTGTTACATCAGCACCATCCATTACATATAAAAATTGACTAGAAGTATAACTTTTTTCAAATGGCTATATCCATACACTTATTCTATTATTTATAGTAAATATCTGGAAAGACATAGAATGTTACCTTGCAAGTACCAGAGCTAAAACTGTAGCAGCAAGAGCAGCCGGGGATGTTAGATTGTAAATATTCTTCTCTAAGTATGCTTGACTCTTCTTTGCCACATTCACATCAAACTATAAGAATAAACATTTATCACTACTCGTCAAATTTAATCGTAAAGTAAAAAGACTTATAAAAAGACATACCTCATTTTCAATTCCTACTTCAAGTAACGTCGCTAAAGTTTCAGCAGTGATTTCAACTTTTCTTTCGCTTTCTATTTCCTCGTCCGTCATATTTCCATCTTTATCATAATAATAATATTCATTAACTTCAGTTTCGCTTCCATTATTCTTCTTCATATCCACTGGATAATAATCTACTTCCTTATCAGCAGCTAAAGGTGCAAACGATCCATCAGGTTCTTGTCGCAATTGTATCCATTTCTTAATAGATTGTAGTAAATTGGGATCCACTGGGTAGTAAGATTGAATTTTTGTTAAGATTTCCAACATTTTAATTGTAGATAAGTGACTGCTCATTGCTGGATGATCGCTGAAGGAATTGTCGCTTTTTCGAAACGATAATAATATCTGGACCTGAAAACAGAAATTATTATTATTAACCAGAACCGTAAAATTTCAAAGGCAAGACAATCCAGTTGTATAACTGATTTAATTATTATACTAAAATGCAATTTCATAGCTTACTTCTACTAGGTAAAGACAAATTGCACTTATATTTCAATATTTTCTGGATTTTGCATTTTTTACCTGTTCAGGCAATTTCTTCAGAATCTTCTCTCGTTCATTATCTTCAACTAAATGTGGAATATGTTCCAAAGCCAGCAGCGGAGCCAGGCTCGCTGATGCTGCTGACAGCTGAGAGTCTCTCCACACTCCTGACCACTGGTCAGCGGAGTCCGTCAGTAAACTGTACAATGGCAGATGCAGACCTCCTGACACTAGGAGAGTGCCGCTCGCAGACCCTGGCACTACACCGTGAGGAAGACCGAGCTCCAAGACTTGAGAGAAACCTGCTTCTTCATTGAAATTCCAGATTCTGTGGATAAATGTTTTTATTGTTAGTTTAAATAATTGTTCGTATTTAAATCTGTAGAAAAGAATAGAGTGTAATTAATGATAATAAATTGTCTTAGATGTCCAAAATTTATTTGAATTATTTTATTTTCAACTCCTATGAAGACCAATTTGTAGATTTGTTTTAAAAAGTAGAGCAATTCCCAAGAGGAGAGCCATAGTTAAGCAACGTTGTAAATCTGGTTATAACAATATAAACTATCTTACTAATTTTAAATGCGTATATTTTGATGGATGGATGTTTGTTAGAATTAGTAACTAAACTGCTAAAAGGATTTGGATAAAATTTGGCATAGATGTAGAGGATAGTCTGGAAGAAAAGATAGACTATTCATTTTATTTAATTTCACTCGGACGGAGTCGCGGGCGAAAGCTAGTATAACATAATTTCGGTTCTCACCTGAAATCCGCTTTTTCTCCCCACAGAGCGCTAAATCCTACAAAGTTGATCCTCGTGTCAGGAGTGAGGGGCCACACGAGCAGGCTGCGCTCGGCCGGCGCGGCGCCGCGCCCCACCGCCAGCCGCGCGCCCTCCCACCACACCCACCACGCGCACCACGACCCCGCGCCCGCGCACTCCTCCTCGCCGCGCTGCTCCGCCTGCTCTGCACTGGCGAGGTGCACGTCATACCCTGGACAGTCGTACCAATGAAGGTGTCATTGTTATAGAGATTTTTTAAACACTTAATTTGATAGTGTCCAGTATGACGAACAAGAGAGGTAGATCTAGAAAGATGGATTGGAAAGGTGACATGACCAAGAAGAGAGTAAAGACTGAGATGGACTGAACGGATGATTTGATAGAGTACAAAAACCTGTTACGCCGACACTGCGGGAGTAGGAAAAGGAGGGAGGTGATGACGTCCAGTATGACGAACATCTAATTTAAAAAATCTACTTCAATCATAAAACATTCATAATTCATATCCAAAAATATGACTTTACTAAAAAAATAAGTTTGTTTGCTATAAAAACTCCTTCACATTAGGGGTTAAAGAAAAAGTGACACATTTTAGTAAACTCTTGCTTTTTTAATGTGTTAAACATCCATAGAATTGTTTTTGAGAATCACATGTTTGACAAAAGGTTTTAATGAAGAAGTAATAACAATATTGAAAACCAGAAACACGAATCATTTTTTATATTCTACTTACCATGTTTTCCTTTAGCGATCCAGACTCGAGTTCTCTCAAACACCACTCTATACATATCTTCAGTGGGTTCCTTTACAGCGGAGAGTGCGACGTGCGCGGCGCCCTGCGCTCGTAGTTCTAGAACTAAGCCAGCTCGGTTGCGAGGAGCAGCCACCCACTGCCACTCCCAGGAGCCACGGGATGACACCGCAAGATGCTCTGAAACACACATTGTAGAAGTAAAATGTAACAATCTCTTGCTGTCGAAAAAAATGTAACTGTAACAACAAGGTTGCTGCAAGAACTACAGCAGCAGGAAATTAAGAAAATAATAAAAAAAAACTTCTTGCTGTCCAAATATTCTTTGCAACGACATCTAAAGTAAAGTTGTCTTAAAAATCAGTTAATTCATTTACGAATTATGTATGTCTACGGCATTTGCTACAAAGTATTTTTCAAACAGTAGCAAACATTTAAGAAATATGTTGACTAGACGTAGGGAGAGACATTTTTACACCGATAACTTCTTTTTACGGTATTATCTCATTGTCAAATTTGACAGTGTTTGAATTATTTTGTGATTTTGATTATCGAACATCAGGTATCGTGAAATGCGTGCGTTACTGTACCATAAGCACTTATATACTCTACATTACTTAGAAAGAAATTATTAAGAAAGTAAATATCAAAACAAGAACTTAAAGAAACAAAACATTCGTACAAAATCTCAAGACGCTATCTAAAAGACTCGTGTTTAAACTTACCGTTAGCACAAAAGTATGCGCTCTGAGTGTCACTTCTGTGCAGTCCTTCTGGCAGTACGAGGACACTCGCCGATCTTATCACTGAGCCGACCAACGTCTCGTTGTTAAACGACGTGTATGAAACGGAACAATTGTCCGCACTGTAGCCAGTTACTTCCACTGAAATGTAAAAGAAAAATATTCAAAATAGTACTATTGAAATAGAAAGTGACAAATAGCAAAATTTGCAAAAATGTGTCATCTTCGCTGGACAGAAGACGTTCAGTAAATTGTCAAGAAAACTCTCTTCACCTTCCCACCTTTTCTTCATAGGTAAATGGTGGGAAAGAAAGAGAAAAAGTAATGAAAAAAGAACACTTTTTTAATTTATTAATTCTTACCAATAATAAATGTAGTTAATATTGAACAATCGTAAAGTTGTCATGGAAAATCATAAAACAATGCAATAATCTTGATTCACATCAAACTTTTATTTGTTTCAGTATAACGCTTTCTTAATGTCGAGATTTATATTGCTTTCTTACGACTTATAGCAGCTTCCTGTGTCAACCAGGACCGTATAACATGGATTATGTCTTAAATCACAAACGAGAATCTTTATCCTCAAATCGTTCATTCGACTTTTCATCGAGTGTTTTGAAGTTGTGTGTATTTTTATGTCATGTTTTCTATTCAAGAAATATAGACAATATCATTTGAATATCAATTCTTGAATTACTTTCGTATCAGAACGGTAATAAAACTATTTTACCCCCAACAAGGATATTTGACAAGCTCGTAGACTATTCGATATTTCCCAAATGAGTTTACGTTATCATAGTGAAGCCCATCTACATAATACACGAACTCACGTCATTGATGCGATTGTTCCCGCCCGACTCCAATTTAAATGTTAATTTGCGACTCCACCATCAATTTGAGTAGCTTGTTAGCATGCTTGTATTAATTTGTGTGTTGCCTTCCAAGTATTATACACGTAAATGTTCACTAAATTGATGTATTCTAATTCGTTGATTAGTTTAATAGGATCGTTTTTGACCGACTTCCCAAAAGAAGGAGGTACTCAATTCGTCTGTATGTTTTTTTTTCTAGGTGTGTTACGGCATAATTCCGCCGCTAGTGGACCCATTTTGATAATACTTTTCTTTATCCGAAAGGTAATACTTACAGGTGGGTCCCATTTTTTTGTTTGATTTTTGGAGTCAAATACTACGACGTAGTTAAATAGTTTAGCTCAAAATCGCGCGACGAAATTTAGGGTCATTTTTGCTTACGTAGTCTAAACTATAAGACTTATATAAAAATGATAAAATGAGTATGGAAGAATTGTAGCCCTTTAAATTTGCTAAATAAAAGTTGGAAGTCGGTTTTTTTTTTTTGTAGCAATTATCTCCTAAATCGATTAGTTATAAGTTCATTCGCTTTCCAATATTGTAGTTAGCATGTATCGTTAACCCTTCGTTAAGCTATTAAGCAAATTATTTTATTTTGTTTTCTAAATACTGTACAATGAAACTGGTTGAATGCTATAATTTTACGACCTTCACATTGGTTTTCTTTTGTTAGTCTATAGGATTATAGATATATCTTTAGAATTAACAGAGTGGAGGGTGCAACCACGTGATATATCTAGTTATTATAGTTAGAAATACCATAATAAAAAGCGATATAATCTGCTTTATAAGAAGCTAATATTAGTTAAAGGTTGTTAATACACAAGTCATTAATCAAGCAACATTAATGATATAATTAGAGTAACAAACTTTGTAGCTCGCAAGAGTTTGAACAAACTTCTTGGTGATAAGTTTACGCTGAGATTGTTAAGCCAAACTAGATCACTACTTGGGAAAATTTATCATAAATAATAATATATCATCCAAAGTTTTTAATAAGACTTGAAGCTGCTAAAACTATGGTCTTCTAGTTAATTTCCTAGGTGTAGAATTTTCGCTTAAATAAAATGAAATAAATGCACCTCTCAGTGTTATACAAATAAGCTAAAAACCTAAGGATGAGTTGGATTAACAATAAGACAAACTAAAGTCGAGTAGCTTCGGAACTTCATTAAAATAATTTGCTCCAAGGATTACGCTTCGAATCATTTTTGAAGTGAGCTGGGCTATTGTTTTCATTACATTTAAACTTTCCCACTGTTTGTAAGTTTGTTGAAATATTTGCAAGCAAAAATAAAATATTAAGAAGATAACTTTGATATCTGCTTTCTACATGAGTGTAATGTAATGGAAGTCTACATGTATTTGTGTTTATCATTTTCGTTTAATAAATTGAAAACTTTCTCTGTCAAACTGAAGTTATACTGAGAAAACGGCTACATAGTTAGTTAGGAATTAGCATCAACGTATTTCTGCTTGTATCTGCTTTGAGATTCTTGCTTCGCCTTCAATGGGCTGATGTAAAGTAAACCATAATTACCAGTAATGTTCTTCCTTCCCGGCGTATTTACAGCAACTCTAACCACCAGCTGAGTACCGCCACGGGGACCGAGACGCAGTCGCTCGGTCACATACAGAGCTCCGGTACTTGCGAACGCTGCACCAGCACTTAAAGCCAGGAGAGCGGTTACCTTAAATAAAAAACATATTTATTACGACCTGCAGATACGCAACTGCTTGTGAAAGAGAAATTACGCTAGTTTTAAAAGGGTCTTAATTCGTGGTGCATAGGAAATACCACCAATGACAGACCATTTTACAACATGTTATTTAGGGCCTGTCCCATCACTGCCTGATAGAGGCTTAGATAGCTTACAAAAGACGTCACTATCGGATAAGGTAACAAAATCAGATATTTCTATCACATATTTTTACTTGTTGAATTGTTATTTGGTGGGACATGCCCTTAATCTTTAGGCACCAAGAATGAGGGCATATATTCCGTGAGGACCTATCTTCCTCTAAAATTAATAAATTCATGTCGTAACTTTAGTTATCCATATTGGTTGATATACCATTTATTACTTTAGTACTATGAGTGTTATCATAAAATAGTGAATAGTTATTCTCATGTTATGATACTTGGGAAGGCTCCCCGATGTTATGTAAGTCAATAATGTTTCATAGATGGAGTCAGTGACGACACACGTCCGCACTTTATTGATACAGATCCCGATAGTAAATTATTATTGTTTGATATTTATACGATAATGGATTTGATGACGTTTTATGGGTATAATAATGGAGTTTATTTGTACTTTGAGGATTGAAAGTTATATGAATTACAACAAGGCTCTTAAAACAGTAGAATAAACTGTAAATAGTACTGGAGTGTTAAATCTAACAATAAAGAGTAAAGATGTTTATCATTCGACAATAGCTCATACATAAAATAAATTAAAAATAATTCGAATGCTTAAATGAATTCGAAAATATATAGTAACTAACTAAGTAGGCCTATGTCCAAAGGTGGAAGAATTAAGGCTGATCAAGGTGATGATGATTGTAGTATTTAACATAAGCAGAGTTAAATTTTATCCAGACTCGAAAAAAGGCCAGTGTAAACGTGAATAAAGTTAATACAAGAGACTCATCATTCAATGTAAATGGAGGTGTACTGCACTGCAGAATGCTGCGGCGACCCATACGTCAGAGAATTTCGTTCCACACAACAAATAATGCCGTCGACTAAAAACTTTTCGTGAAGAACAAAGGCTACATTTAACCTGAGAATAGTTACCATTCTTAGTTTAAAAATTTGAAACTGTGTTTTATTTTGTTAGTTACAAAAATGAAAAGTAAATTTTTAAATAATATAACATTTTCTACTACTAGTTTTTGCCTGCGTTTCCATCTGCGTGGAATTTAAAAAAAAATAATTAGCCTCTGTGTTTTTCTAGACTATTCACTGTATGGAAGCCAAATTTAATAGAGAATCGTTTACCTATTTAGGCCAAACATTTATCCATCCATCCCTCCAAACGTTCAAGTAAGATTTTTGAATAAAAAAATATATAAACTTTGTATATATTACTCTTTTTAACAATAAACAATGTAAAATAAACAAAATCAAAATAGACCCCGTGAAACAACCAATTCGTAAATAGCCGCGGGCCTGACAACAAACCGGAGCGCAATAAACGGACGAGTTAACGTTCAGGAACCAATAGGAATGTACAAACATTCGTGCAGTTGACGCAAACGTTGGTAATTAGCTTTCAACGTGACTGTATCTGTTGGTATTATAAATGGTTGGTCTTTGGTCGGTCGATTGGCGCGGTTTGTGTCGAGTGCAAATGTGTCCTTTATGTGCCAGTAACATTTGGTGCGGTCAATTGGTAACATATGAAACTGCGGTTCACCGGAATAAAAGTCACGGTATTGCGTTTAAGGATAAATATACACGATCATAAAGAACATGAGATCAAAACATGAACAAGCAAAAATACGTAATTTACCTCATAGATCAGAAACTATTATTTGTATTGATAAAAGAATTGATTAATATGAAAAAGTAGTAATAACTTGTCTTGTTTTGTTACCGACTTATTATTTACACTAGTTTTCGCACACGACTCCGTCCGTGTGGTATTAACAAAACAAAAGTAAGTAGCTTATATGTTCTACCAGACTATCCTCTACATCTATGCCAAATTTCAACAAGATCCGTTTAAACTTTTATAGTATAAGTAAGATAGGTTGTAGCTTTTTATAATCAGCTTCACAACAAAATGAAAACACTCCTTATAGACTATATTCACTAAATGCCAAGTGATATTAAGGTATCAAAATAATATTATACAGGATAAGTGATTTTGCTCTAAAATAACGATAACCGTGGAAAACAATGCACGGGTTACACTGATGCGAGTTTGAATCGCTAAACCGGTATAGATTGCCTAATCGGCCCATTTGCGCCGCCGAACCCCGGGCTGATCCCGGCAATCCCTAATCGGGATTCGATGAGAGACATCGATCGCAAACATATCGCCACCGACCGTGCCCGCGACTAAACGGGGTAACCTCATGTGAGTTTAAAACCATGAATAATTTTGTTTTAAATAATTCATTAGACAGAAAGTTCGATGAATACTCCGTATTTATACAGACTGATGATGATGTTGATGATATATTAAATTTAAAAACAAACAACGTAGATTATGAACTTATTCTTGTCATCTCTTTGAATCAATCTCACTAATATATGCGAAAGTTTAGATGAATGATTGTTAGAGTTTATAGCCTAAACTGCTGGACGGATCTCGATGAAATTTGGGATAGATATAGAGGATAGTCTGGAAGAACGCGTAGGATACTTTTGTTTTTAATTTCACGCGGATGGAGTTGCGGGCGCAAGCTAATCACATATAAAAATATCAGTAAGACGTAATCTAATAAAAATATTATGTAATACTAAATGTTATGACATTTAATACGCCGCCCCCTCGTTAAAGTTTATCGAAGATCAAAGCCAAACAGGAGGCGTATTATGTTCGCTTCGTACGCTTCACTTTGCTTTCAAACTACTGAGAAAAAATATCGATAAAGAAACACGTTCCTGGAATCGTGAATTATATAAGATTGAGCTAACGGTTGTATTTAAGAATTAACACATTTTTCATTAGTGATAATTTTGGTCATATTTTATACTTTTTTTTTATAATTAAAAATGTAACTAGCTAGTTTAACTTTACAATTTCTGCTTTAGATATCTGGTTCGTCTTCAATTCCTTAAATTCAATTCCTATAGACGAAAAAGTGTCTAAATAATATGTTGTCAGGATAATTTAGAAGAACTATTTGTATTACCTTCGTTTATCCCAATACTTTTTTGTTAAAAATAACATAAAGTTAAGTAAATTTATGAGAACAATACTCTACCATAACAACACATTGTGTACGCAATGTCGGTCGGAACAATAACACAAAATATATCGTATTTATTTAGGACTGGCCCTTACGTAAATATTATCGCTTATAACTGTATCGTGTATTCAAAGCCATAAATTAATTTGGCAAGCGTACGGATGTGGAATAAACTTCGTTGTAACAGCCGTAGTATTTCAGGTGGGAGAATTGAAACAAACGGTTGTTCTCACTGTCATTAGAGCTTTAAATGTATAGAAACAAAAGATGACGTTTGTAATGTTGTAAGTAAAGACCACTGATTAGTACTAAAGCGTGTTATCCAAGAAGCCAGTATTAAAAAAAATTCTGACCATTTGAAGACATACAAAAAGTTTAATTAAATTAGCTTGGAAATAATTTTTTTGCTACTGCAATCATGCTTTTTTCGCTACATATGGCGTTGAGTGAATCTTACATGTTAAATGTACACAAGGTCTGCAGAAAACGACTCTGAGTTCGGCGATAACTGGTTCAAAGCTGTTACTTAAATGTGTTTACTTACATCACATTAGAAATCTTTAAAATTACATTTCTCTACAATAATAGATAGATATAAACTATAACATTATAGACATAAACTCTTAAATTTGTATATTTAAAAAAATTACATCAAAACCCGTTGCGTTGTTATCAACATCTAAGCAAACATAAGCACAGACTTTGTTTCATAATGATAATTTCCTTAAAATATTACAACATAAAAATACTTACATCCATACAATTATTTATATTGTTGGTAATCTTCACATCAACTTCGACAGTCTCGCCGACCTTCAGAGCAGGTGGTAAAGAGAAGTCCAGTTGTATAGGACGGAATACGTTTATAGTACGCGGTGCGGAGAAACGCAGCCCTCGATTGGATAAAGACAGCGCCCAAAGTGACCAACGTCCTGCTTCAGATGGCGCTGCGATCGTCACTCCGTCTGTAGACAGTTGACTCCTGGAAAACACGAAAAATTAAATTCGCTACCCACGTAAGTATATTGTTCAACTGTCCTAATAAAATTTAGTTCAAGATTTATGTAGATATGACAATTTTTCGACCTTATTATTGTGTGATTAATGTTGCAAACATATAACATAAATGCGAAAGTTTATGGGCGGATGGATGTTTGTTAAAGTTTATAGCTTAAACTGCTTTACTGATCTCGAAGAAATTTGTCATAGGTAGAAGATAGTCGGAAGCACACATAGGCTACTATAATTTTTTATTCCCCACAGACAGAGTCGCGGGTGAAAGCTAGTTAATCATTACAAAATATGTTTTCATTTACATAACATTTGTAAACAAACGAAATATTAGTTAAATGTTACCGACAAATTTTAATAACATGAATTTCAATATTTTATACACAATTAATAATACAAGCATTGTTTAAGCAAAACTAGTTACAATATGTTAATTAAGTTGGACAATGGTAATGGCTTTATCGAAAAACCGTACCAGTGGATGTTATTTTAACGGATAACATTATATTAATCCAATTACTTCATGTTTTAATGATTCAGTTCTCTTAATGACAATCTAATACAAAGATATTGGCTTGAAATTGTATATAATTTTTATTAACTAAACCTAATCATGCTGGCCGTTAATGTAGACATTGTTATTGTTACTACCTTATATCCGCGTGTTCGTATGGACTGAATTAAAAAAGTAGCTTCATTGTTCTTCCAAACTATGTTCTACATCTGTGTTGAATTTAAAAGATATCTGTTTAGCGGTTTTAGTAACAAACACAAATTCATACAAAGTTTCTCATTTATAACATTTGTAAAAGAAATTGTTAACAATATTTATAATACTTTTGAATTAATGCGATTGTCAATAACTTTATAAATAAGAGTACTCTCTTTGAATCGCAGCCAATCAGTCGGAGTTCATCAAAACTTTGTTGTGAAAGTTACGGCATTGATTTGTGATCTGTAGGGAATTTCGATGTTGTGACGTAAAATATAACCGTACTTACAGCCAATGATAAAGACTTTTGACCGACTTCCTAAAAGAAGGAGGTACTCAATTCTTCTGTATGTTTTTTTAATACTAATGTTTGGGTAGTGTGAAACATAGAGATTCAAAAATTTTATAGAGAAGGCGTATTTCACACTTTAGTTGAGACATTTTTAAATAAACATCACTAACGCCATCTATTACCAGTCAAACATTTAAATTTGTGCTTTTTTAATGTTGAATGTTTTATTACACAATACAAGAATATGAGGTACGAAACTTGAAAAATAAAGTACCTTTCATAGAAAGTACCGGTGAAAAAATTTTGTTCACTGTCTCGTCTATATTTTATTTAAATGTCTTTGATGTGAACCCTTGTTAGCCGTTAGTTTCCCGAAACTGGACTTTCACGGAAAACAGTTTGTCATTTGGCAATGCATAACTTACGGCTCTGGACAGATGAATCAGCGGATTTTGAATTTATGAGAGTTAACTCCCTGACTTATTTATTACCGGCTATCGTAGTTTGCAGCTGCGAATTGATAATTTATTTTATTACTAAAGCCGCGTCATATACTGTTCCCAGTGAAATCACGGTACAATTGATTTGATGCGAATTTCATATAAGTTATAGAGGAATTTACTGCGTTTAATTCACACAAATTCCGAAATAGTTCTCTCGAAATATAACTTAATCAACTCTATTCTTACTAACTTTAGAAACCTAGGTGCATCCATTGTAACATTAATAAGTCATGACTTGGTTCTTTTACACAACTTTAATGAATGACAAGAGGTGTATTATAATTATCTATTCTGATATTGTGAAGATAAAAGATTAGTAATTTTGTATATATTGAAATAACTCAAAAATTACTGGGCCGATTTCAAAAATTCTATTTCTGTTTAAAAGCTACGTTATCAGTGAGTAGCATATATTTTTTAATTTTGGCGAAGTCGCGAGCTTTTATAATGCACATGCATTTAACTTTTTCGAGTGCTTTTAAAACGTTCATTTTAAAAATCATAGTTCATACTATAAATATACTGGAAATTTTAAAGTTATCGGATGTCCAAATTCTAACAATTACTTTAGCTTTTCATAATATAAATTGCAATCCATAGTATACATACGTATAGTTAAAGCATCTCCACATCCAGAGGCGGTCGTGTGTGGCGGGGGGCACGAGGTGCGCGGGTGCGCGGGGTGGCGCTCGCTGCCGGTACAGCACGCCGCCGCGCCCGCAGCCGCCGCCGCCGACGAACAGCGACACGCCCGCGGACACGAACTCCGGACCCGGCTGGTCTTCATGCTCTGATGTTCTGTAGGGAAATTTGATTTGTATACAAAATAAGTAAACAAATATATAGCCTAAAGTATACAGACAAAATTTACAATTCAACTTTTATCATTATACTAGCTGTTGCTGGCGACCTCGAGCGCCTAAAATTAAATTATAATAAAACATATAGCCTAAGTTACTCACTGATAAAGTAGCTTTTTCATGGGGGATTTTTTTTTTGAAATCGGTCAAGGAGTTTTTGAGTTATCTCAATTCTTACAAAAATACAAATCTTTCCTCTTCATAACATTAGTATAGAAAAATAAAACCACAAAATAGTGAATATTGTTATTGCATATTGAGGAGAAATTATTAAGCTATAAAAAAACCTAATTCTCTAACGTGTTAAACATTGTTCTTTTTTACTCTAATAAAGAAACTTTTATATTCAAACCATTGCAAAAATGTATGCATTTTCATATTCATAAAGATACACTCTACGGTGCGTTAGTCTTTACAGATTTTTTCCATAATGCGTATAAAACCTGCACTTCATGCATACAAAAAGGGTATCAAAGGCTTCTAGTAAAAGGATTTGCGCAATGCAGCACCGTTTGAGGTAAATGGTAACGAGAGAGTTTTAGCCCGATTAGAACCGCGCTATCAACGCTATCTAACAATAATTAAACATAGTGTAATTAATATTCGAATGCGGCTGTTCGCATTTGTACGCTATTCATCGCTGAGTCTATTAATTGAAGTGAGTTAGTACCCTAGATTGCATTCAGTGAACGTAAAAGTCATAAATATATCTACCGAATTGTAAATTGTTTGATAACAATCCAACGTGTGAAATATGTGATGGAAAATTTATTACTTTATCTGGCAGTGACGTCATTTTTAAGTTCTCCGTGCCTTTATCAGCCAGTGGTGGGACAGGCCTTTAGTCCTTTTGACAGGGTGTGTTATTTTGGTGGAAGGTATTGAGGAAGACCTATCACCACTTGGTAGATAAAGGCTGATGATGTATTATTTGCCAGTACGTCTTTTTTAAATGACTCTATCCATAAATTTGTAAATTATTTCAGAAAAGAAATTTAGGCAAACAACTAACAGCAATATTTTTATTTATATTTTAACTGTAGTTTTAAGTTTTTATATATCTTGTTTCAGGTAAATCTTGGGAGATATATATAAAGCACTGCAACTTGTGAATAAAAAGATTGGATTTAAGTTACCACAATAACTTCACGTCTTAGCTAAGTTGCATACTTGAAGTATAAAGAGCGATCCTGTCAGCAACAATGTATTTTCCTTCGCCGCACAATTTATCATACTCCCCCCTGATCACTTGAAGCATAAACTTGAAGATAACTTGCCAAAGAAATAGATAAAAAGTTTCTTGAGATACACTTTCGTATAAGAGGTGACCTTTAAATATTTTTCGTAGTAATATTCTTTTAGAAGAAACGATTACTGAAAACACATTCACATTTCAATAAAAGATATTTTTCCATATATATTGTGGGTGAAATATATAATTTCTCTAAAGTTTTAAAAAGTAATCTGCGATTCTTATTTTCTTGCCTTTTATTAATCTAACCTCAATAAACAAATCGGTTTGAAATTCAAATCAGACCTACTTTATTACCAATTGTTATTCAGAAACTAGGACTGGATTATATTGTCATTTTCTATGAATTCATTGACCTTGTTTGATACAATAGAAATTAATATTCTTCTTACAATGGTGTATACAGATAGAAAATGAAATATGAGGTTTCATTATAAAAAACGATATAAAAAAACAACCAAATCTTAGAACATGCGTCACTTGAAACTAAACTATGGCACAACTGTTTAATCCTACTTTGGTTCCTACAACCTTACAAGGAGGTGCACACAATACTATATCTTTATTCGTAAAAATTAACCAGTGTATTGCCTGCGAATCAATCGACAGTGTGATATTTTAGTCAAAGGTGTTTGCCCGCTCATAAAAAACAATTGTTACAGTATTTTCGCGGTTAATTACGTTAAAAAGTCATGATGCCAAAATAGTTTTATTCTCGTAAGTATATGGTATAAACCATCAATATATTTGACGTGAGATTTTCAACGGGGCGCCTGATTAATGGCCCGTATCGGGCGCCGTGTAGGTGCACCGGAATGATTTACTGCGCCCCAGCCTTGCCAATGTTACTGGATACAGTATTACAAGAGATTAAATACTACAGCGCTATCGTACAACATAATGAATAATACATATAAAAAATTGGAGTGTCTATTTGTAATATCAAAAGAAAAAATCCAGTTTTCAGGAAGACGATGTATATATTTACGTTGCTGGTAAGGAAAAGGAAAATATCGGGTAATCACCAAAGCTTCAATTGAATAAAACGCAAGTTACATAGTTCGGAAACGCATATTATGAAGTTATTTAATACCCAAACGAATGGTTAAATGTAGTTGGGAAACCGGTTTTTAGTGCCGCAGTAGGAGTTTATCTTAAAATTAAATACATTAAGGGCCTGTCCCACCAAATTGTAAATTGTCTGATAACAATCCAACGTGTAAAATAAGTGATGGAAATATCGGACTTTGTTCCCTTATCTGACAGTGACAACATTTTTAAGCTATCTGAACCTCTTCAATGGTGGGACAGGCCATAAATTACTATATAGTATCGTCGTAATTGAAACGTCTTACGATTGATGGGGATCGAAGCGAGCGTCAGGCGGTGATCGGGCCCCAATCAAGCACATCAGGGAATCAGGGGGAGCGAGTACACGCAACTGCAGGGCAGCTCTTGGGTACCACCATCTCCTTTCTTCCACAGCTACTGCGACCTGTAGAATAACACTCGGCATTAGTATTTAGTAGTTAAGATTTTTTAAAATCTTTTTGTCCACTATCGTCACTACCTACAAGACTGGTTTGTCAGTTACGAGTCCTCTACGCCATTGCTTTGAGTCTACACAAGTCTACTACATGTGTGATACAAGGTTCTACGCGACTGCTACGCAAAATCGAAACTCTCGTATTAAGAGGTTTTATAACCATAGTAGAACGATAGATTTACATTGTTGCATTTATAAACAACAACAGATCAACCTCTTTTCTTCAACATTGTTAGTATACACGGATAGTTTCAGAACGGAGCACTTCTAGCGCAAATTGTTTGTCCTTTTAGTTGTGTAATCGTCGGTGTCGCCGGAGAGAGCGTTTATATTGCCACATCTAGATACTGTCAACAGACGAGAGAGAGACTTAATTGTTAGCCCGTATAGACAGCAAATTGTCTTCCATTTAGTTGTCCGCTTACTTTGAAATTGTTAATAATTTACCTTAAACTGTTTGGACTGGAGATATGATATAATCGCCTTTTATTTTGAGAAAGATTATTTTACTTAGTTGATTTTACGTAAAAGGTACAGCTCAATCTCAACACTTTCTGGTTTATGTCCCCATCATTTCGTCGCATAATATGTCTATACCACGCTAACCTTTTGCTTCTCAATTTCTCCACCGCTGGCGCTACTTTCAAACTTCCTCTAATGTACACATTCTTAACTTTATCCAATCTTGTCACACCACACATCCATCTTAACATACGCATCTCAGCCACATGCAATTTCCTTTCATCCGCAACTTTGGTGGCCCAGCATTCAGATCCATACAATACGACAGGTCTTATGATGGACTTGTAAATCTGTCCCTTAAGCCTAAGAGGCATTCTTGGATCACAAGTCACACCAGTAACCTGTCGCCATTTCATCCAACCTGCATTTATTCGGCTTTTTACGTCTCGGTCATCGCCACCGTCGGACTGGACTAGAGAACCGATGTAAAAGATTCGTATACTCAATTGTACGAACTGTTTTATTTCAAAGTTCTTTACGATTTTTTACCAAACATTGCATGCTTAGCTTATTTCTTTTGTTATTGTAATTTATTTAAAAACAATTTATTTTGGTAAAACACAGCGGAACCTATTAGAATAATTGCTACGACAGTGGTTATTAAATTTGTCTCCAATGGTATTGTCAAATTATGTTGTAACAAGACGCCCTATTAAGGTTAATTAAGAAGGACAAGGGAATGTTAATTTTCGTCACGAAAATACACTTTTTTGTCCAGTGACTTGGGCGTCAGCCTCTTAATTACATAGAATAAAATTATGTTAAAAAAATGTATTGGTAAAGTATTCTTGAAAACAGACTTTATCTTTCACTAGCTGTTCGCGTACGGCTTCATCCGCATGAAATTATTTTATTGTTTACATTTGTCAATTTCTCAATAGCAAATGTCAAAATGACATGACATGACAAACCTTGGCAATCTTGCTTTCTTGATATTGGCAGCAACTTATGGTCCCTTTCCGACATTAGGGTTTTTATCCAAATTATTTACCCCCTAAGTTTAATGGCCTGAAAATGTATAGCCTAAAGCGTAACGTTAGTCTAGGGCTTTTTATTAAATAAAGAATTATTCAAAAATATGCTAACATCTTTGGCAACAAAAAAGTGTGTGTTTACGCTTTATTATAATAGTATAGATGTCAACAATCAAAAAAAATACACAAAAAAGAAGCTTGTTTATTGCGATGTAGATGTCTTTTTCTCAATCTCACTCAGTAGAGATCTAAAATAATATTTATCAAATAGAAATAACATTCATAAAAGTATTTAAAAAATAACATTTGTAACTTAAGACGTTCTTTTACAGAAATTTACGAGCATATTGTTTTGGTAAACGTTAAACATCGTGGTCTTTAACATTAATTGCTAAATATAATTTAATTAGTTGAGAAATTTAGATAACGTACAAGATTGAGTTGAATTTGAAGAGAAATATTTACATTCAATTAATAAAACTAATCAAATTAGAATACATTTAATTGAATTAGCTCAAAGATACAATTATTTGGAATTAGTTTCAATTGGCTTCAATTGTAGACTGCGAGACTTCAGACCCGTCTTATCTTTTAATACTAAATACTTTAAATGCTGAACCCTGGCTTATGTGAAGCAAAAGTAATCTCTATTTAGAATACCCGTATCACTTTAGTACTGGCAATCTTAAAAACTAGATTTCTGCTTTCAGCATTTACGTCGAAGAATTTACTTTAAGTACATTAATTTATTAACTACTGTTTTTAATGAATGTTATTGGTTAAATAAATAAAATGTACTGTAATTAAAAATTATCAAAAATATTACATACATAGAGAAAATAGTTGTATTTCGTAGAACCCTACCAATATCCATTAAAGCTCGATACAAACTTTGTCGCAAACACAAAATCAACATAACGCTAATTAAGCTCGGCAAACGTCGGCTCAATTTCACGCCCACTGAATAGACAAAGCTTTATAATTGCAATAAATATTAGATAAAGCTTCGGTACGACGGGTACTTTATGTTTTGTCAAATTGTTTTTTACACACTCGCAAAGGACTTCAAATTACGATATACCAAAAAAGCTTTCATGACCGGTATAAAAGCTCTATTTTTAATTTTTACAGTAAAACTTTTAAATTAACTCTTGCATTGCTTAAGAAACAGTTATCCTTTGAAGCAATTTCAATCTTATTACTAACATAATGACGTTTAAATTACCTCCTTATGCAGCAGTCGGACGTGGAAGCTGACTACGTCACTCACGGGCTCCCCAGCCTCGGTCACGTAGTAGACGAGGAGAGAGCTCACCGGCGCCATGTCAGCCGTCACCGGGAACCTGGATATGATAACTATGACATTAGTGCCTTATTAAAACTACACATGATAGACAAATATAACATTCAGGGCCTGTCCCACTAAATTGTAAATTGGCTGATAACAATCCAATGTGTGAAACATGTGATGGAAATATCGGATTTTGTCCTCTTATCTTCTTTCTGAACTTCTATCAGCCAGTGGTGCGACAGGCCCTTAATATTCATGCAGCCGGATTCTAAAATGAATATTAAACAATTCGCTTGTTTACTGCCGTCTAGATAGATAATCGTCAAATTGTCGTCAATACGATATGTGCCTGAAATCGATCAATATTTAATTCTTTATAACCGTTTTCTGCAATTTCGAATACTGTAATCATGACTGAAATTTATCCGAACGTTAATTTGTTAATCGTCGCTCGTTTGTATTTTTACATGTCGATTGAGATCATTGATTATTTTTAATTGATACAACGTGATGCTCAATTTTAAATATAATCGGTCGTATTAAGAGCTGTATATGAATATTTATTTATTTATGTATTGGTGATAAGCACTCAGCATGCATTGAATAAAAAAATTTGATCAGTTAAAATCTTTTTTGATGACATACTTCAAAAAGATCATCATCACCAGCTCACTATACGTTCCCCCGAGGGGCTCGGAGCCTACCCTAAGTAAAGGGTGACTAGGCCATAGTCAACCACGCTGGCCCAGTGCGGGATGGTTGACTTCACACATATCTTTGTATTTGTGAATTCACTTATTCATATAGTGTTGCTTTCTTTACAAATTTAATAATGGATAAGATATAAATAACTAGGTATTGCTCGCGACTTGATCCGCCTGAAATTAAAAAATAATCAAAAACATGACCCATATTATTCACTGATTAGCTTTTTAAAGGTGAAAGAATATTTAAGAACCCAGTAGATTTTGAGTTATTTCAATACATACAAAATACAAATCTTTCCTCTTTACAATATTAGTATAGAAGTAAAGATGACGCGGCAATAGCATAAATTGTTACTTATACAATTGACTATGCAGTCGTGAATTCGAATACTTCTTCACAATCTAATAATAGTTACAATATAATCATAATAAGTAGAGCGTCGGTGGCTCAGTGGTTTGAACACTTGACCAATGTGATTTTCGATTTTTCGAATTTTCATATGTACATAATTTACCCGACGTTCTTACGGTGAAGGAAAACATCGTGATGCAACCTGCACATATCGGCGAAGAAATTCAAAGTTATATGTGAAGTCAACCAACCCGCACTTGGCCAGCGTGGTTGACTATGGCCTAGTCACCCCTTATTAGGGTAGGCTCTGAGCCCCTCGGTGGGGACGTACAGTGAGCTGGTGATGATGAAGTAAACATGTAACAAGTGTAATAACTCAAAAACTAGTAGGCCGATATAAAAAAATGGCCATTAAAAAGCTATATCAGTAACATAGGCTTTTTTATTATTTTTTAATTTCACACTGGTGAAGTCGCGAGTAACAGCTTGTAAACCAAATAAGTCTAATATTGAATGCAATAATTAAGTATTCCACTCAAATTTAACATCCTTACACTATAATGCATAGATTTACTTAAACTAAACTAACTTACTACTAAAAACAGCTAGTATTACCAGACTGTTAAGTACAATAAAGTTACTAAACTAAGGGTAGGTAATAGAAAACTTGTTAATACAATACCGTTATTGAATGATCCACGGACCTTAAGGCTAAGTTTCCCCATTACTGTGAGGAGGCGAGCTGTCTGTTAACTTAAATTACTTTTACAGTTCAACTGAGAGTCAATTATAGTTCCATCATTATAAAAGCGGTTATCTGCTACCGTTTTAAAAGTTATCTTTTATCGCCGGTTTAAAAAATATAATTTTACTTAATTCTCGAAAAGAAATCCGCGTACGACAAAAATATGTAAATAATACTATCACAATCACGATAATATTATAAATGCAAAAGTTTAGATGAATGGATGGATGTTTGTTAGAGTTTGTAACCTAAACGATGAACGGATTTCGATGAAATTTGGTACAGATATAAAGGATAGTCTTTTGTTTTTTTTTTATATTCCGCGCGGATGGAGTCGCGGGCGATAGCTAGTTTTGTATATGGGAAAAGGAAATGAAGTAAAGTGATTTATGTGAAAGATTTTAAAGTTATTAATGATAAAATTAAGTAATCAGATATGACGGCTGATAGAGATGTATGGAAGAGCAGCACATACTGTGCCGACCCTCCATAAGGGATAAGGGCAAGTGGATGATGAATGATAAAATTAAGTAACAGTTAAATTAAGTACTTACTTAAATTAAGGTTTAATTAAATTAAATTCAAGGTCGAGAGCTTCCTAAATTCATTAAATCCAACTGGATTAAGAGGTGATTAACAGTTTATCGGGTTTGAGTAGGTTTTTTTTTAATTAAAATTATCTTCATTAAGGGATCGTTAATACTGGATTAAGTTGAGAAGATTTGACGGGCATCAAAAAAAAGAGCGATTTTAATAATTAAACGTATCTGTAAAAATTACGCAAATATAGAAATATACGTTGGTACAAATTTCGCACAAAACAGACTAACTGCCAACATGACTACACTTTGCTGAATTATCACTTAGTGTACCTATATTCTCATGCAAAATTTTCATTATATGTACATACATCTCCCTTAGTGTCCGTAAAACTGATCTAAGTACCATATCAAGAGTATACAATCAATTGCCAGTACGAGCGGATAAAACAATTGATATACTAAAATCCATTCAATGCACTAATGAATGACAATGAATTGAATGGTGTTTCGACTAGACAGATATTCAGACAATAGGCGTGGAGTATTTCCAAATACACAGACAGGTGTCCACTCTCATTAGCGATGATTCCCGCTCGTTTACTGTTTCAACAACAGCCATTTATGTTTGTTACGTCTGCCTTTTGACGTCCCTTTTATGTCTCGAACGATACGCAAACAATAGCCTCGTTTGTCATCAAACTAAACATGTACACGAGATTTACAGACTAAAAAGTAATCAAATATAGAGATTTTTCAATTATTACGATGATATAAATAAAACATACTAGTAATAATCACAGTTTAAGTGTAGTTTAAATTCCACAAACAGTTTATTTTCGTTTTTTTCTCGCACCTATCACGTAAATTTTCGTGAAAGATCCTCTGTTGTCGTTAAATATGTATAACTTTTTAAAATTTTAACACTTAATTCATGTTCAATATAACTATGAATATTATAAACAATTGTTAATTTTTTTCTCCTTCTAAGATCCATTTTTATTTCAATCGTGTAATTCATCTTAGTTCTATCAAAGTTATAAATAAAATAGACAGTTAAAGAGATAAGGCGATAGAAAATCGAGTCAAAGACAGAAACCATTAATCGTGTCGAAAAGTTCAATGAGCCTCGCTTAGTTTAATGGGATGAGGATAGTGCAACTAATTATGTCTGGCCTTTGATTGAGAAAGTTTTACTCGATCTTCCAACTAATAATGTTGACTTTTGGAAAACTTTGCAAGGAATTTACTTTAGTATTTGCGAATAAATTACTGAATTACGTTTAGTGTAAAATAGAAATCGACTACGAGAAATGTAAGAAAACTTAACAAGTATGTTATTTGACGTTGCAGACAATATTTTATATTCATAACAATTTTATCTAGAAATTTGAGATGTTCTAGAGATATCTTATAGCAAACATCCATATAAAATTGGTATTTATAACGTTAGTAAGATAATCAGAAGTGGCTTAGAAATGTATGAAGCAAACTACGGAATATAAAACTTGTATGGAAATGTTATCAGTTTGATGCATGACAGTAAGTAGCTGTACCAAGCTATTATTCAATAACATTCGTTTGTAATAAAAAAAATAACAATTTTCATTGAAGCCATATAACGCAAAAGGTAACAATCGTTCATTATACATTTTATAGAAAAATAAAAAGAGAAACATAACATAATATTAGAGGAAAAATTTGATACTTGGAATTGCGAAAATGTTGCAATAAACCCGTCGGGACATTCATCACAACCATGATCTTGTTTTTGTCCGAACACGAGCACATCCGATGGCATTTTTCATTCATTTCACCCTGACATTATTTTTATTGCTTAAAACCAGCACATTCGTCATTGTCACGGACAGTATGAAATGGTTTTTTTTATTGGACTGTTTTTATAGATTGCAATGCATTTGTACAATAAGTTATGTATTGTTTTTAATTAAACCAAAAATTGGTTTAAAAAAGAGGAAGAATATATTCGATTATTTAGATATTCTACGAGGTAATTTGTAGCTCCTCTACGCAGCTACGGAATTCGTAGCAGCGTAGACGTATCGCCGAGAAATTGTGTGAACATTTTGTTTCTATCTCTGAATTTTAACGGGCTACATTCTTTTTCTTAGTGTTATTTATTATGAAAAAAGCCGAATATAATATCATTTCCCCAATGGACTCTCTAAATAAATGTATTTGGTATTACGAATGTTGTGCAGCTCAGGGTCAGATCCTTCCTCAGATCTTATCGCATAGGGATAGAGATGACAAGGGGATGACGTAAGCGAGGGATCTAACAGTAAATTTATTACGTTATGTTAAACTATGATGATAAACGATAATATATCTAATTTAGTTTAATTATATTACATCAAAAAATCATTGAGGTTTCATGTAATATTTATGAGATAGAAAAAAAAACAACAACGAACAAGTGAATTCGGCTACATTAATAATTAAAAAAAAATAATTTGGATTAATTTTTAATTAATGAATGTGAATATTGTAAAATATGATTTAATTGCATCTCCTTCCATTTGCATTTAATCGTGCAAGACACTCCCATTTCTAAAGAAGTTAAAAATTACATTTTCATTTAAGAATGTTACTTCCTCAAACAATAATAATAGAACTTTACTATAAGAGTCTCCATTACTCATTAACTAATGACACGAAAAAATCGTGCCAAATATTAACGGACAGCCGCGGTCAGACTGCGGTCTCCGACAATTTGTTACTTGTCTACAAATGTGACCTCGTTCCGTTTGTCATATCTTTTGTTCTAATTACCGATACTAAAACAAGTGTATAACAATTAATGTAATGTGAAATTTGTTACAAACTAAATTTAACACGTTTACTGCGGCAAGTAAAATCATAATTCTTCATCTGGTGCGGCGGCGGGCCGAAATGCGCACCCAATGATTT